CCCCCCCCCCCCCCCAAAAAAAAAAAAAAAAAAAAACCAAACCAAACCAAACCAAACCGTATGCTGTGTGGGCCAAAGTCCAGTTGTTGAGTTTAGGGTACCAGAATACCACAGTCCTGACCCAGAAGTCTGCTTTTCATCCCAGCAGAAAGAGAAAATATCATCACTACTTGTTTAGCTGGTTTATTGCCCAAAGGAAAGGCTTTGGGCTTTGCTTTATAATCCTTTAAAATGATGGCCAGTTAACTTGTATTTGTTATGTCAAGCAAGCAATTTCTAGTCATTAACCTTCATCTTTATTTACAGGTTGTTCCTGGAATAGCATGCACAACAGATCTTATTTCTCTGCCCATATTAAAGGTAAATCTCCATGGAAAAGGTGTCTCTATTAGTAAACAGGGGAGTAGTTCATTTTTGTTTTCTTTTGTACTTGGTGCATGTGTTACCTGAACACAAGGATGATGAAGAATTGTTTAGCCCAAGAGACTTGTGCATTTATTGTCTTAGAGATATAGCTTATCTCCTCAAGGTTTAAACTGTTCAGAAATGTAATGGGCATTAGCTGTCTAGCCCAGCTCATCAGAGGTAGACCTTCCAGTGTTCATCATATATCAGATGGGACATAGCCTTGTCTTAATAACAGATGCTTAACCTATCAACACACCTCCAGCGCTCAACATCCCCCACAACAAACCCGTTAGAATCTACAGATCCTACACATGCCATTCTGAAAATGTGATATACCTGATCCGTGGACCATATGCCCTCACGGTTATGAAGTGGGTGAAACTAAACAGAAACTGCACATCTGAATGAACCCTTACAGGAAAAAAAGGATGAAATCTTACAGGAGAAAAAGGACAGATGCATGCAAACATCAGTAGGAGCACATTTTTCACAGAAAACAATTCCCTTTCTGTCTTCATTCTTAAGGGAAAACATTCAAACACCTTCAACACTGAGAACCAAGGACTGAACAGCGACGTTGACTTTGATACACTGGGTGTATCTACATGTGCCATTAAAGCACTGTGATAAACTCTGATGCAGTTTACACCAGAGAGAGTCAGCTACTCGCAGGTGTAGCAGCCATATGTGTGCCCGGGACTGCAACAGTTTGAGCAGTCTTTTGACCATGGCATCCTGCGCATATGCCAGTGTGATGGCTCTGGCCGTGCTCTTCAGAAGGAGTGGCTGTTTTAGGTTTAAACCAGTTAAATATGTGCATACAGAGATGTAGAGAGAAACATACCTGGTGGTGAACAGAATATGTTTTTGGGGGTGAAGGGATCCCTCACTCTCTGATAGGAGTCCCTATACTTGCTATGGAAACTTAGATTGATAATTCCTCTGTCTCCTCTCCCAAAAATTACCCCAGCTGAGGTATTTTATTGAGTCGAGAGCATGTGACAGGTGGGAAGAACAAGACCCAAAGGGCCTTTCAGGTAAATAGTAAGATGTATACAGAACGTTATGGAGAACCAGATTGAAGAATAACAGAGGAACCAGGTTTAAACAGCCGATGACTCGGAATATGAGTGAGCTGGCATCATGTCGGGGCTGCATTCTGCATATTTGAGAATATTTTTCTGATGGAATAATTTTAAGGAGACAGAAGCCCCTTTGCCTCTTCCCTCCTCTAAGTACTCAGAACTAGTTTGTAATACTTTAGTCTCAATTGACTTTTAGGTTCTGTTTTCCCCTCCCTGCCTCCAGATTTAACTCTGTGCTATCATATCAGTGCTGGGTTTTTTTTCTCCTGATTTATGCCAGGATGACTGGAGAGTCTGGCTTCAACTGCTTGACATTTGTTTTCACTAGGAGATGAGGGCACATCTTAAGATCAGGACTTAAAAGCGAACTTTTATCTCCATATGATTCATGTAATGCACTGAGGTCAGATTTAGAAAGCTGTTTAATTCGTCTGAGATTAAACTTCAAGGCTCTGGGAGCAAGAGCCTTTAGCAATACAGTTCCTGATGGCAGAACTCATTTCCTATTTCTGTCTGAAACAGATTGGGAAGGTCAAAGTTAAATGAAAGACACCTATTTCCTGTTGCTTTGGTCTGGAAAGTGCTTTAGTTTTGAGTGAGAGTCTGAGGTGTAAATGCTGCAGGCCAGGCTCAGTGCTATGGTCTGACTGCTTTCTACTGTTTTATGATGCAAAAGTTCCATAAGCCCAGTCGACTAGGCCAGTTAATGGGGTTTCATCTGGTTTGCACTGTCACCTTCACAAAGCAGCCGAATGTTTCCAGAGAATCTGTGTGGGGTCTTCACAGAGATAAGCTGGTGCCCTGATAGGTTTACAGGAAAAAGACCCAGGCCAACAAAATGCTGAATGCCTTTGTGAGAGGCTGAGTGCTTTCAGCTTCAAGGAATCAGGACTTATGGCAGAGGTGATTATCTTTTATTAGACCAACTAGATATTTGCAAGAAAATGTATTTATTTAAAGGCTTTTGGGCACAGTCACCCTTCCTCAGGCATAGAAGAATGAAAAGATTGTAAAATTTCTTCTAGGTGGAAATTAAAATTCATATTTGCATTCTCCTATGCCTGAAGAAAGGTAAGTGTGCCTGAAACTTGCAATTAAAGATTTTTTTGTTGTTGTTGCAAATATCTAATTGGTCTAATAAAAGATAACACCTCTGCCATGAGTTCTGATTCCTTTTGCCTGTAGACCAATATGGCTACAACCTGTATCCCTTCAGCTTCAAGGTAATTCACTCACAGTTGCTGCACACAGTAAGAATTGTCCTGAAATAAAACGGCTAAGGAGGAGATAACAAACACGGGCTTTGGGCAGAGGATCATTAGAAGGGCCAGTGTCACAACTCGAAGTAATTATGTGGTAGGGTTTGTGGTCAGCAGAGACCTGATTTGATCCATTATTCTAAAAAAAATGAATCTCCTTTTGGTCACTTGAGTTTCACTCTGTCAAAAAGAGTAGAATAATGTTCAGGATTGGGAGCTTAACTGGAGGAAGGGTCTGAAGAACAGTGAAGAAGAGAAGGAAGATTTGTCATGGAGGCTGGCACGAGTAAGGCAGCCTCTTGTATAGTATGGTAGGTGACACTGCATGAGCTGCCAGGGGCTAAGTGTTGAGCTTTGATTATATATCTGCATAGTGCATCAAGTGCACTCGGCATCTCTTCAATAGCACATAGCTGCATTATGCCCATTTAAGATGGGAAATGAAGAGGAACAGTGGATAAGTACTACCTAATGCCACTACTTTTGTAAAAAGCTCAATGAGGTCTTTAAGTGGTGATGAGTGCTGAGGTCCTTTGGTTTAAATTCTCATTTGATTCTCCAGTAGTATTATCTCTTAATGCAGTGCTGGGAAATTAATTTCTTAGTGCCTGACCATATAAGGCCACCTGCATAATAAACACTGCTCCCTGATGCACTTGGTGACCTCTCCTCCAGGCTCTCAGCCTGCTTATTTTTTGTGATCTCCAGGCCATAGAAAATTGGATTTAGTTCATGATTGTCTTTTGCTTTAACAAGCTGATTTCTTAAATGCAGGGTTTTGTTTTCAATGACACTTACTTGCAGTTCTAAAATAGTATGTTTTCTGTTGTGACAAACCCTTTCCACACACATTTTTGTCCCATCTCAAACAGCCTTTTTCTGTGGCCTGAAGGGAGGTCCAAAAGGATCTTACATGATCCTACAGACCTTCTGCAGGTGTAGCAATTTAAACTGACCACTAGATGTCACTCCGGTCCTACACTTTTTTTCACCTTTTAAGTGTATAAGTTCATTAAATCCTAGATCTATAGTTTCCTTAATCTGTGAATTCAGTTTGTTCACATGTTAAATTGAAATTACAGTCACACTTTGAAGGAAAGTTGCTTAGGGAAATAAGGGCCTGGTACCTGGGGAGGTAAGAGAGTGACTCTGAGACTGGCATGTTTGATTCAGGTAGATCTCTTTAGATGTTGCCATGCTGGAAGGAAGAAGCTACCTGTTGGTCTAGTGCAAACCTAAGGATGAAAGTGATGGCTTGATTTTATGCGACTCTGGCTCTTCCAGTGATCCTCTGCCCAGAATTCAGGATTTTACCAGATCTCTTGTGGTCTGGGAGGGTGTCAATTATTTGGGATTTATATCTTTGGGAAAGAGGGAGGATTTCTCATCTCCTTTCCTTCTCCATTGTAGAATGCTGTTCCTGTTTCTTCTTTACCTCACTTTATGATCTTCTCTGATGAGGCTGTTTTTGTTTTTACAAATTATCTAAGCATTTTAACAAAATATATCTATTATATCAAAATAACATTTAATAATTTGGTTACATCAATCACTACTACTACTACTACTACTACTACTACTACTTTTAAGATAAAGCTATGATATGGCATGTATAGATTATTTAATGTATGGTCTTCCCTTATCTCCTTTTAGACCTTGTGCTTTGTTTAATTATGTTTGATGGTTTTCTTGACTTCCTCACCAAGTTAGTTGTCATATTTGCCAAGGTTCACACTGCAGTTACTCAGAAACATGTCTTGAGCCTTCCGCTGAGCAACACATCTGCAGCTTAGCCTAGTTCCCTTGAAAATGGCCAAGGCTGGCAACAGGTGTTCAGTCCTCTTTGTTTCCAGCTTTTCATTGACCTAAACTAGGCTTAAAACTGTATTTCTTGCCATTACTTTTTTCCCACTACTATAGCTACCATGTGTTGACACAGGGAGGGAAGTGGTTTGTGTCAGAAGTGTCAAATAGTTTGACCCCCAGGACTAAATGCAGACCACAGGGCTACTTGTAGCCTGGATTGGACCGCTTTCCAGCATTGGAGCAAGTGATGGTAGAGTGAGTGGCGTTGGGGCGTGGTGGGAGTTAACACACCTGTCACTTGTCCTGCCACTGCTAAAATATATCCGTAGGAGGGCTCCATATCCTTAATTCATTTTGCCCCCAAATTCCCTGCACCTCCAAGAAGTCCCATGGGCTGGATCCAGCCCATAGGCTATGTATGACACCTCTGGTCTATATGATATTGAACTGAAATGCGGATGGGTAGGTAAGGGGTAATCCACACTGTGGAACTGCTTGAGTTTGTTGGCAACTTCACTGTGGCCTACTGAACGAAATGAAAAAAACCACAAAACAAAACTGGTTAGAGGGAGGACTGGACAAAAAAAAATCTGCCTGAGCAATGTATAGGCCAAAAACCTGTCTACATCCTGCGAACTGTTGCCAAGTTGGTGGCTAGAAAAATGGGTGGAGATGGGTATCCTAAAGATGAGTAGTAAAGTTAAGTTTTGGAGGGGGGAGTTCTGTTTTTGGGGGCGGGGCGGGGTGTTTCATACCAGAAATGAGCACCTTTAACCTTGTGTGTCCTTTCCAGTACTGAACATGCTGATGAGCCCTAATAAAATAATAGCCTCAAATTTCTATTTAAGAAAACTAGACCCAGTGTAAAAAGACAGCTTGGGGAAACCAGTACATTTTCTTCCTTTTAACTGTGATTTTTAGATCACTGAAAATATTAAAGATTTGAAAATCGTTATGGTAAAGCTTGTTCTGGGTTACACGTTTTGTTACACAGACTTCACAAACAAGCAAGTCTATTAATGTATTTTGAGAAGGGTTTAGAGCTTTGGGTGCTTGTTCTACTCGGGAATAATTGCCACATAAAGAACATAGATTAAAATTAGGACATACTAGAAAGAAAAGACCAGCAGTACTAACATTGTCGTTGACTTTGTCTTTGTTCTCCTGTGTCATTTAAATGGTAGGTTAGATGCTTATTTCAGTGATGGTGCAGCTTGTATTCATCATTTCATATATGTACTTGTAGGTGCAAAACTGTAAAGGCTTCTGGGAAAAATT